GTTTTTAATGTTCGGTGTGAGTCGCCCAGAGTTCCCCCATTGGGGGGAGATGGGCGGGTGAGCAATTTAATAATAATAATAATATAATAATAATAATACATGGCATTTAATGCATGAATGTTGTTTGGCAACGGCCAGTGCAGCACACTCATTAAGATGTTGAATTTGAACCCAGGAGATCGAGGTTCAGCTTCCCTTGACAGCAGAGCTCACTCTGAGTCGGTCATTCTATCATAGAAGGTTGGTGGGATTAAAATTAGGGGAGATTCCTATTATGTTGTCTTATGCTCTTAGAGAAAGGCAATACATAGATAGATAGATAGCCCTTTGTACATAATGTGCCACTGGAAGAGGCCTCTGTTTTTTGTTTTTTGTTTTTTTATCTTTGAAGTTCTTCCTTTCAGATTTTAGTTCCTGGTGTTTTTTAGCTTAATTTCATGTTATGGGTGGCAGAGGGTGTTATTGTTTTCTACTGTGTATCTTTCCAATTAGAAAAAGCCTAGACTGAACTCCAGGCCAGTGGAGAGATAAGTGTACAGTTAAAGAAAGAGTATTCACCCACATTTCTTGGCATCTTATAACTAAACAAACACTCCATGACAATGTCACTAAGTTTCTGTTTTTAAAAACAGATTTCAAAGGGAGGAAAATGGGAAGTTACTTGCATAATGAGGTGAGAACTGATAGGGAAAGAAAGGAGAAATCTTCAGGCATTATTTGTACCAGCCGGGGTGCTTTAATCCATTTTTTCTTCTCATGTTCCAAAGTTCATCCAAAACTCTGAAAATGGATGTCAGAGTTGAATCTTCATAGAAATTAAAACTCTGCAAGACTGGCTGTTTGCTGCCACTGCTAATAATTGTTTTTTAGGAATATGCATTAGAAAAGAGTTATACAACACACACAAAAATATGAAGTGTTACTGAATTTTAGCCATCATTGTCCTCTACCATTGGCCATACTGGCTATGGATGGATAGAAGTTCAGCAACATCTAAAGGTTCAGACTGTACCCATTCTTGCTTCAGCGTCTGTAAATGTACAACAAACTTAATAGGATTTATTGCAGATATAAGGGCACCATTTATTTATTTATTTATCAATCAGTCATATTTATATAGCCACCCATCTCACACAAGGTGACTCTGGGCGGTGTACAACAATTTACAACCTTTGTTGGGATACCACAAATTCTTTGTGCCACAGGTCACTTAGAGTGCTGTTATTAGCAGCAGAATTCTATTTTTCCTTTGAAATATTTGTATCCTGTTTATTATTGTCCAGTGAGGACAATACTTGTTATTAGAACAGGTGTGTTCTCGATTATACTAATTCTAAGAATGCAAAACATTTTCAAAATGTCTTTTAAAAAATGTGGAAACATATTCATCAGAAGGTATCTGCTTCTACTGCAGAAACTGGGGGCCATCAGCTTACTGAAACTAATTTGTTCTTCTCTTTGTTGTTCTCCCATGTTGGGAATACATTTTCTTCTGCATTTGTATTCAAAACTGCAGTTTGTTTATTCGCTGTTTTGAACATCCAAACTGAAGCTGTTTGGAACATGGATGGGCTTATATCTCCCAGCAAATAATATGTGGTTATGTTTCTTTATCCTGCCAGCAAGATAGCGTGCAGTGAGCTGGCATTTATATAGATGAACTAAGTTCTATAGATTGAAATAAGGCATTAAAATACACTACAAATTTATAATTGTCACTCTCTTTCCATAGCGCATATTTACCCTTTCAGAAAAGGATGCACCTAGTGCCCCTGTGCAATTTGCTTGGCAAAAAACATTAGGAAACTTCATTGCTGTTACAGGGTAAGATAAACATAAAAATTATTTAAGGATCCTAGATGTGTTGATTCTGCTTTGCAGAAATGTAATGTGTGGAATGAAAATTGGTTGTATCTCCTTGTTTATATTCTTCCAAAGAGATGCAAAAATTCACTGTCATTCACTGTTTTCAGATGCATGTGAAAAATGTCATTATTATAATTCTTATAATTTCTTCTTTATTTGTTTAAAGATACAGCCACACTGTAAAAATCTTTGATCGCCATGGTCAAAAGAAAAATGAAATTATCTTACCAGGGTAAGTCTTAAATCTGATTTGATGACCTTAGAAGTTCTCTAAATTTAAAATCTCACTTGTGGATAATCTAAAATGGATAGGAAAAACTTTGAAAATAAGGTATCTACCCAATTAGACTTTCTCCATCTAGGGTGTCAGTATCTTCAAATGTGGTTTGGGAGCAGGTTATAAAATATGACTAGGATATGCAATAAAGCAGTGATGTTTTATTAAAGAGCATTTAGACACTTTTATGCTTCTTTAGGAATTGCATCGCTATGGATTGGGATCAAGATGGAGATACTCTAGCAATTATTGCTGATAAATCCAGTGCTATTTATCTGTGGGATGCCAACACAAACAAAACCAGCTTGATGGATACTAGCATGAGGTAATTGTAGGGGGAAACCCATATTAATCTACCAAGAGTTTGGTAGCATTCTTTCAGACTAACAAATACTATTAAAAGGCATAAACTTTTGTGAGTTTCAGCTCAGTTCATCAAATGCATGTATGCCTTTAAATAATTTTTTTTAGTCTGAAAAGGTGCTACCAGATTCCTTCTGTTTTTTAGCACAAGGTATGAACTCGTGCTAAATATAAAATGGAATCTGGAGCACCTTTTCAGTATCAAATAAAAATACATATCCAGTTTATATCTTAAAATTAATACAGGGAGCTGATCTCTACTTAGATGAAGGAGATCATAAATGATGTGTTGTTTGCCAAAGAGGATTTAATTTATCATGAATTAGTGTTGACAGCTCTAACACATGCCAATTTGGATAACAAGGGCATGTATTTATTTCTTCTATCATCTGAATAAATCTCTTTAAAATACAGACCATTGAGCAAATATGTCTTGCTGGATCTTCAAGCTTTCTTCCAAACTACTCTTCTGTTGCCTTCTTGAGGGATCTGAAAGTAAGAAAAAATTACTGCAATGAATCTGAGGGTTCCTAAATAGTTTATGAGTGTTCATTACTAATATTGGAAAGAAGTGCAGCATATAATTGTTAGTTCTTCAATAGTTAATGTTGTAAATCTTCTACTCATTAGGTATTGCTTATCCTGACCTGTATCCGTTTAATTTAATCATTGTTTGAAGGATGTTTCCTTGGTGTTTATCAATATTTCTGTAGTAACTGGAATTTGTGTAATTTTTTTTAGAGAATCTTTAGTATTTTACACATATTACTATAATAATACAATTTCTTTTAAGATAGGCCAGTATTATGCAATTAAGAGTTTAGATTGCATTAATTAAACCATTCCCTCAATCTGGTGCCTTTCATTAGCATTGTAACCTCATTCTTACCATTGAATATGTTGGCTGGTGGAATGGAAAATTGTAGTCTAATGTAACTGGAGTTTATCATGTTGAGGCAGGAAGTGGACATATATATCTAGGACTAGTTGGGGTATTATTAAAATAGTAGTTGGGGTATTATTGTGCCCATAGACATATCTACTGGCTCCTGTTAGGCTTCCTACCCCGCCTGGCTTAATTTATTTGAATTATATACCCAAATAAATACACAGAATGTTAGTGCATTTCAGAACAAAACACAAGACTCGAAAATCATTGTTGCTGATAAGAATGCCTTCAGGTTGCCTAGAAGCTGTATAGGCATTCTTAGAAAACAAAAATGGCAGCTGATAGCAGTCTAATGCTTTGTGTAGAAACAAACCTACCAAGCTAGAAGAAAGAAAGGGATAAACTGGAGTAGCAGAGGAGGAACTGGGAGTCTAGATGAGTAGGAGGAGACCACCTTTCTTTGCCTTGTATTTTGTGATACGTGCATGTTTTGACTCATCCCTTCACGGTTGTCCAGATCAGGAAACAGATTCCACAAGAAGATTAGAACTCTACTTTCTTGTGACAGGCTAGAGTAACAGAATCTTGCAAGTCTGCCCGCGTTTTCCCTTCCTTTCCTCTTGTACCTCAGGGAGTCGGGATCCAGTCTCTTTCTAATACTTTTCCTTCACCCTGGTCTCAGCACGTGCTTCTGCACCTTTTGTTGTCTTAAGGGTTTCTGGATAGTTTCTCCAAAGTCATCTCCTTGAATTATTATCTGTTTCCCCATCTTATTTCATTTCCTTGCTTCTCTCAGAAAAACTGTTAATTTTAGGCAGGGATAATATCTATATTTTTAAAGAATTTATCAAATGTAATTGTTAATTTTTAATTTGGTCATTTCAACATATGGGGTTTGATATGAGAGTTCTTTATTGTACTACTTTCTTTTCTGTTAATTTTATGAATCGCTCACACCCAAAAAGTGCTGATAAATATCATAGACATATTTTATGCTCCATTTTCTATTACTTTAATTATAATTGAATCATGCTAGTTATCTGAGTTGATCTTGATACATGGGCTTTTTCATTTTACTGTTTATTCCTCAAAAATAAAGTTGTAATCAACTAAATATTCTTTAATTGGGCAGAGCTTATTTTTATTTTTTATATTTCAGGGAACCAATGTCTTTCTTACGTTGGTCAAAAGCTGAAGCCTTACTAGCTGCTGGAACAGCTAAAGGAAATGTACTAATATATAATCGCCAAACTTCTCGCAAGATTCCTATCCTTGGTCAGTAGCTTGAAAACAGTAGAGAGGTTTTTTTTTTTTTAATGTTTAAGAGTTGTATTTAAAACTGGAACAGGTTTAAGTCATTAAAAAAACCAAATATGGGGAAGGGGGATGTCGTTTGCATCCAATATGTAGAAATCTCTAGAGCTCAGCTGCAGTCAATAGGCACACAAAGTTGTGCTTTAATAGAGTTCAGTCATCCAGTTCAGAAACAGAAGCAGAAACAATTTATTCCCAAGATATTTCAGCTTTTCTTCCTCGGAGGAAAGTTTCTTATAGAATGTTCAGGCAGACATATAAATGCTCTTTTCCTTCCAGCGTTCAGTCACTGGCATGTCTCAGTTGAATAAATAAAGCTGGGGACGTTTCCTTTGTGAAAGCCAAGACAAATGAGTTGGGAAGACTTTTGTCATCTTAGAACAAATTGGCAGATGCTGGGATCTTCAAAGCAGTATTTAGATAGTTATCTTTTTCAGGTTGTGCCTTTGGCCTGATGTTTTTTCATTCATTTCGGAGTCTGTTTTTCATTCCTTTGATTCAGTTTTGATAAGCATTAGTTAATTCCTGTTGAAAGCTATTCCAAGATTTTGGATTAAAAGAACAAATTTCTTGATAACCTTAGGCTAGTCCAGATCTTTGTTCTTGAAACAAATTTGGCATTTATCACAGTTTTTCTCTTTTTCAAGCCAGGAACATATGCAGTCCACGTTTTGGAGAGAGGGCACTTTTTTCCAGCATTTTCCTTGAGAACAGAATTTTAAGTGTGGAAAGAAAAGCAGAATTTTATTCACAAAGTTAATCACCAGTTAATTAATTATATTTTTAATCCACCCATGCAGAGTTCTTTGGCTGTTTAATATGTGTCAGTTTAATTAGGATTAATTAATCTGTCAGTTTAATTAGGGTTAATATCTGTCAGTTTAGCAATATGCAATAGGGAAATTCATAAGTGACATTTATTTTTATAAAAAGTTACTGTGATAGTTGCCAAAATGATTGTACTTTTTTTTAATAACTAGCAGTTTCTTGGACAATGTGATAATTATAAAATTGAATGTGCTTATTCAAATGATATTTTTAACACCTGAGCATTGTTTAATATCTTCAGAAAGCAAAACTTTTCACAGTGGACAGATGCCATTTATGTTCAAAAGCAGTACTGATTAGCATGGACCAATTTTGGCACTACTCTATGCCTTTATTAACAAAACAGCCTGTCTACCAATGATTGGGGCACAGCATTTGTCTTCCCTACTTACAGTAAAGGTGACAGCGTGCCCCCCCAAATTATAGTCCTATAAGTCTCCTAAACAATATCAATAAATTATATATGAAACACCTATTTTGGAAGCTATTGAACTGGATGTATTAAGGGGAAGAACAGGCTGGATTTTGCATGGGAGAGACAGACAGACAGAAACTTTATTTCAGTCACTGACCAATAAAAATACATTCGGTAAAACAAACAAAGCAAAGTTAACTCCTAAAATCAATGACTATTGGCAATGATTTGTGGGCAAAGCTTACACATTATGTAGCAGATTTTTGCTAATTTTAGAGAGATTTATCCTGACTGTCTAACAAGTAATGCAAATAAAAATGATCGGAGTGCCCCAGAAATTTAGATAAAAAAGGGGTAATGAACGGCGGCGAATGTCCCTGTAGAAGTGACAATACAAAAGAACGTGGGCTGTGGTTTCTATAGCCCCCATGTCACAGGGGCTGCGTGGGATAAGATCATATACTGCAGCATTTGGTTGAAAAGTATGCCATTAAATCCAGAACAGCCCCCCAAGCAGGCGTTACTAATTTCAAGTCTGTATTTGTCTCTGTTTTTAGAGTATGATTATGGGATAAACTTAAAAATTCCTCTACTGACAAGCACTTGTTACTACTTACTTGTAATTTACATGGAAATACAACCTAGAGGGCTAGAGGTAGTGCTAATGATGACATTTCTAGCCCTGTTCTAAGCCCCCCCAAAAGTCAAGCAGGGCTCCCCCACTTTTCAACATTTATGTGTTTGCTTGCAGTTTTATGTGAAATCTTTGGTGAAGTATCTCAAGGAAATGGATATGCTCCCAGACTAACTAGGGAGTGACTGCTTATTTTCCTTTATGCCAGTGTTGTCCAAACTTGGCCACTTTAAGATGAGTGGACTTCAACTCCTAGAATTCCCCAGCCAGCCATGCTGGCTGGGAAATTCTGGGAGTTGAAGTCCACTCATTTATTTTCCTTTATGCCAGTGTTGTCCAAACTTGGCCACTTTAAGATGAGTGGACTTCAACTCCTAGAATTCCCCAGCCAGCCATGCTGGCTGGGAAATTCTGGGAGTTGAAGTCCACTCATCCTAAAGTGGCCAAGTTTGGACAATGCTGCTTTATGCAGATAATGCCATGATGCTCTCACAGCCCCAGTTGGTCTCAGGAGAGCCTTGAAAGTGGATGGGCAATGCAGCCCTAATACCCACTTTGTAATTAATTATAATACTGAGGATATGGTCTCTGCTAAAAGATCAAGGGTGTACAACTAGACACTTGATGCTAACGCTGTGGAAGAAATCAAGCACTTTATATACATAGATTTTTTTTTTTAATTCAAAAAAAGGTGCTGACTGACCAGGCAATTTTTAGAGAGTCAGCTATTCTGTCATTTGTTTCTCACCAGGGCTTTTGATATCTACCCTTTAAGAGAGGGCTGGAGAGTTACCTGTACAGTGCATCACAGACATGAAAATGCATATTGATAAAGACTATCTAACGTGGACATAAGAGAGCCAGTTTGGTGTGGTGGTTAGGGCACCAAGCTAGAAACCAGGAGACTGTGAGTTCTAGTCGTGCCTTAGGCACACAGCCAGCTGGGTGTCCTTGGGCCAGTCCCTCTCTCTCAGCCCTAAGAAGCAGGCAGTGGCAAACCACTGAAATCTTGCCAAGAAAGCTGCAAGAATTTGTCCAGGCAGTTGCCAGAAGTCAACGCTGACTCAAGGGCGCACACACACCAAAAAAAAAAAAATGGACAGAAAACCCCTTATGTGACCCCCAACCTGTGATTTAAATCGCAGAGCAATATTTAAGGCCTGAAATAAGGTGGTATCATCTGCTCTGCTTAAGGGGGAACTCAGTAATATACCATATAATGAATGTGTTTGGTGTTTGTCTTCATGGACTGGGAACAAAACTATTGGACATATCCTTTTATATTGCTCCTTTTATAGGGATCTCAATAAAGAATTTATACTCCCATATTTTCCTGGGCACTGTTTGAAATGCTTGTTATATTTTTCTCCTTTTATGAACAAACTGTTCTCGCCTTTAAAAATGGCCACATTTTGTGCTTGTGTTTGTAGAATCTGTTGGGATAGTCTCACTGATTCTGAGTTTCTGTTTTAAATGAGGTATTGTATTTTATTAGTCTTCTGATGCATTTCAAATGTATCTCCTCATGGTAAAGGTGTTTGAAAGCTGGTCTTGGACCATAATAAAGAGTTGTTAAAAAGCAAACATTGGTGATTTTTCTGCATGTCTGTCTTCTTTTACCAGGAAAGCACACCAAACGGATCACTTGTGGTTGTTGGAGCAATGGGAAATTTATAGCATTAGGCGGTGAAGACAAATTAATAACAATTAGCAACCATGAAGGCGACACTATCAGAGTGGTAATAAACTTACATTTTTGTTATGTACAAGACATGAAAAAGTACAGGAAACAGTGCCTTTGTACTTTTCCTCCATTTATTCAGTATATGTTCTTAGTATGAATCCCAAAACAGTTATAGATTTAAAATAATATAATATTTAATATATGTAATCTTATATATAATCTTACTCAGTTTAGGGTTTGCTTTTGAATTACAGATGATAAATTCAGAACATGCACACAATTGACCGTTGTGTGTAAAATGCCCTGAACTGGATTCACATTGAGTTTTATGCAGTTGAATTGGTAAAATAGGCACCCCTAATCCCCCCAAAAAGAGAAGGTTCAAGGTTCCTGCTGAATGGGGTGGACTAGAGCATGTGTGTCTTGCTGAGGCACTTTCTCTGGCAAAAAAAGAGAAGCCCATGAGTCACGTGGATTCCCAGTGACAACATACACACATCTGTGTAGGTTCCTAGTAACAATATGAACAATATGGTTTGCAACTGCCTTCTTCTTGGATTTGTTTTTTTAACTCTAGCTACAGCCCTGAGATTTTTTTTTTTTTTTTTTGCTGATCTTCCATCCTTTGGGGTGGCTATAATAAATCTAATTCCTCCTCCTCCTCCTCCATGAAGCAGGCATGTCCAATCCTGCTTGTTTTCTTTTTTTAAGATTAGCTAAAATCAGCTAGATATTACCACATGTTACAGACCTTCTATGAGTGATCCTTAAGGTAATGTTTTGAGGTAGAAACTTGAGGAACTGCCACGGGAAGAGGAGTTTTTGAAATCTGCTTCCATCAGCCCAGTTCTTCCAAAATCTAGATCCAACCCCACATTTAATGTACAAGAACAGTGCTTACCTTTATTAGAACTCTGTTTATTGGAGAAACTTCTGCTAGTAGAAGTTTCAAGTTCCTTACACTAATTATATCAGCCTTGAAATCTCATTAGTGATTGCTGACCCCAGAGGGGTTTTTTAAAAGATCACTACAGATAATGACTGGATTCATATGTAGAATTAAGTTGTGCCTCCTTTGGCTTTGATTTAGTGTGATCTGTAAACCTGGTACCTTCATTATTACTTGGCAGCTTTCTCTGTTTATTGGGAGTGAGAGCAATGAAAGTACATGCATCCATACATTATGTTAATAGCTAAATATCTATACATAAAATTAATATTGTATTGTTATTGCATAAATATTTGCCTTAAATTTTGATATAAATTCTTAATTGTCCAGTCTTAATTCTTGATATACCATAGAGTTCTGAAATAAATTACTACTACTACTATTTACTGTTGAAGCCACCCAATTCCAAGAAGACTCAACTGTTTATGTTCAGGGCTTTCTAATATAGGTGTCCTTTCTTTCCTGATGGTGACTTCTGATTAAAGCAAGCAAAGAGCTTTATAAAATAAACTGAGAAATGCAAAGGCTGCATTTGAGACATTGCATTATCAGCAAGTTAGTCACTGACTAGACTCACATATATTAAGGTAGCTTAACTATAATTATTAAATAAATCTTGATTGAATGAGTTTTCATAAACACACAAAACCAAGCCAAATTTTATTTATTTATTTATTAAATTTATCCCCGCCCATCTCCCCCTAATGGGGGACTCTGGGCAGCTTACAACTGATTAAAGCAATAAATAAAAATACAGTTACATAAAACCTAAAATTATGTCTTAGAGCAATCCAGAAATCCAGTTAATGCCTAAAACTGGTTTTGGAATGCTTATTGATAGTTCCTTGATAACCCTGTTAATGCTCTATTTCTGTCATTTTTCTATTAGTATAGCTCTTTACAAAGAGATACTATAAATTAAAGTAAACTGGAATCTTATTCTTGCAGACAGCAGTGAGAGGAGAACCCAGTGATATGGAGTTTATAGTGATGAAGACTGATGACAGAACAGGAGGAAATGAGACCACAGTAAGTCATTAATGACAGTGCTAGAACTATATTACACCTATAGACTTCATCTCCTGAAATCAAAGATCATTGAAAAAGAAAAAAGTTAACACTGAAAAATCCAGTTGAAATTATGTTCTGCACAACAAAACCAACATTTGTTACCATGATTCTTAATATGGTAGCTTGCTTTTGGGGAATTTAACCTGCAAACCTTTGCTTGTGAAGTATATACTCTGCCACTAAGCTATAGCTTTTCTCAGTTGTATGATTGAGAGTTTTTTAAAAAATGCAGTCAGCCTCTTCTTCCATTTGACTTTTGGCCCCAGTGTCATGTTCATATTTCCACTTTAAGTAATTTCATAAGTGGTAAGGCAGTATCTTTGCTACTACAGATTTTGGACTGGCAAAAAATTAACACTAGCACATTTGTCAGTCTCTCAAGCTTGGTTTTGTTGTTATTCAGTTTGGTTTCAACATTTGTTAGTAAACTGTAATGATTTCTTTTTAAAAATACTTCCTTTATATTCATTTTCCACTCTTTCTATTGAGAGAGTCTATATTCTAATATTCTTTTATACAGGACTTGTAATTTCTCATCCTGCTGTCATTTTACTTTCATTTCTTTTTTCCTTTTCTTCCATGTCCATTTTCTCTAAAATCCACTCTTGACACCACCAAAAAATATTCTCTTCCACTTTCAGAACCTCTCACCAAGCTTGTATCCTTCACTTGTTCTCTCTACTATTCAACCTAAGCAATCAGATCAATCATGCTTTTAGCTGTAAATTCATTCCTTTGCTATACATATATATGAATAGACTGACGCTTAAACCAGATATTGAAAAAAAACAACCTTTTTTTAAAGCAGATATTCAATAAACAGTCACCATCCTCATTCATTCTTGAATCCCTGAAGCTCCAGTCACTCTTTCTGTACTCTCCTATCTTGTTCCCACCCATCCATTCACCCAGCAAAATAATTTGTTCCCCTAGTTTGCATTCATTCAGAATGTTGCACAATTTTCCCCAAACCTGTCTCTCTTTTAAAACAGTATCCCAGATACAGAGGTGGGGAGGTGTTTGTGCTTAAGTGGTTTTCATAACTAACTAGCTTGCATTTTATGGAAACATGGCGCTAGACTATTCTGCTTCTTGTTCTACCAGCGTGATTTTATAAATCACTACATTAACCACTGTTGATATTAACCAAACTAAAGCCCATGTTAGATTCTGAGGAAAAGGGACTTTCTGTTTTACATTAGTCCAACTATAACATTAAACCATTGTTAAACTAGACAGAGAAGGAGAATGGGGAGGCAGGTACCATGGTTGAGTTTAATATATATCATTGTACCAGTATCAAGTTTTTACCTGGTGCGATTGGGACAGTTCTGTTTCAATCTTTATAGCACTTATTTGTGTTGGGTAATGAGATTAAGAGGGGACAAGGAATATAAATTATCAACCTTTATGTCTATTTAAAATATACAAAAGGAAAAACTTAAGCATGAAATATATCTACAACAATACAAAAGTGACAACAAAGAATATAAATAATACAATACAAATATACCAGACAGCAGGGAATAAGCAGTGAGCCTAAAAAGGTAAAAGCAGGAAAGCAGCAGCAGAAGTAAGAGGAAGGATGCTTCTCTTATACAGAGTTTGCCACCTGATTCTAATAGTTCACAG